CCTGGGTGGCCTAGTGACAGTTTGGAAGTATCACTCGCTACGGGAACGTTCCTGGCTTCAGTGTTGTTCAGTAATGGTCAAAGGCAGGCAGACTCTTCTGTCCGGTGGTCTGAAGTCCGCGGAGCTGCTTCTGGTACAGAACTCTAATTTGACATGGCAAAGATGAACTCTTGTCACTTTCTATTAAATATGTTACCAGGCTGAGAGCAGTGATATGTGAGATGCATTTGTGATTCTTTAAGGAATCATAAGATGTAGTGCTTTAAAACCCTCACTGATTACCTTCAGGCTTCTTTTGATAAAAGACTGTATCAGGAAAACACATATGGTAGCGTCTCAGAGTCCATTATCTTTGAAAGAGCTTCTGATTGGCTGGTCGCTCAGGTAGGAGACTGCGTGGTGATGGGTGTGCAGGGCAGGTTGGACCATGAGTCTAACCCTACCTCCAGTGTGCCTGGCACTGAGACCTCACTTTCTGTTTTTAATAAGAACAGTGGTAGTTTTGTTTCATGAGCATATTATGCAAAGCCAAGGTGAACTGGCATGAAATATGAGAAACAGTATTTTGAAAATCTTGTTATTTGTAAGATAGGGCTAATTCCAGTGCTCAGAATATTTGTGTGTTTGGGGTACATTTATGATCTTATGCCCTTTTATGAAGACACAAGCCATAACGATCTGGTAAGGCAAAAGGTTGAGAGAGCAACAAAAATGTTTTCAACTACATTCTATCTATAGGACATCAGAGTTTTATTTCTGACCAATATTAGTTAAGTCATATTCCTTAGTGTTTATGAACCAAAGGATATGAGCGAATGAAATTAATAGATACAAGGAGACAAAAATGGACAGTTTTTTTTTTAAAAATGTTACTACTTAGGGGAATTCAAATTAAAATCTACCTCACATTTATATGATGTGTTTGTGTTTATTGTTTACATTTAGTCTCCTAACTTAATTGATTGCTTGGGTTTTTATTTAGCTTTCTTAAGATTGCTGTTACATTTTGTTTATTTTGTTGGTAGTACATTAGTTATTTACCTTACAATTCCAATTCATTTACATCTTATGTACTTAAGATAGGGACCCAAACAAAAGTGTGCTCAGTTCTAACCTCTCTGTACAGCACAGTGAACTGTCCAGTTAGAGCCTCGACTCTGAAGCTGTAGGGCTTAGCTGATTATTGAGCGTGCTTTTACACGCTCATGTACATTTTATGTACTTACCCATTATATAAATAAAAACACGACAGAGTTGAGACTACAGAAACTGTTAGCTTTGTATCACTTTCATGACTCATGTGTCCTTTTATCTGATTTAATCCTCCCTAATCACCTGATTACCCCTTCTTTGTTTTCATACGGAATGGGAAAGTAGCCCCACACTTAGAGGTGTTTACGTTATAGGCTACATATGAGGGAGAGCATCCGTTTTTTTTCTTCTTTCTGAATTTGGGTGACTTTGTTTAATACTATACATTCTAAGTCCATCTATTTGTTTGCAAATTTTGTGATTTCATTTTTTTCTTTATACCTGAGTAATAGTCAGTTTTGTTTTTATTTGGCATTTATTTTAGTTGAAATAGAATTTTATTACTTTCTCCCTTCTTTTTCCTTCCTTCAGCTCCTCATAGCTGCCGACCCTGGAGCTCCTCCTGGCCCCTCCCCACACTCTCACATCAAAAACCTTATTTTCTTCATTAATTTTTATTCTCTATTCATCTGCTGATAGATGTCTGTCTGTTATGTTTCCTGGCTGTAGTAAATAAAGAAGTGCAGTATCTGTGTGGAAGGAAATACAGTTCTCTGGGCACACCCCCAGGAGTGGAATAACCGGATCATATGGCAGTTCTAGTTTTAACTTTTTGAGGAACCTCCAAACTGAGATCCATAATGGCTTATTAATTGGCATCCCAAACAGCAGTGAGTAGGGTCTCTTGCCCCTGCATCCTCCCCATCATCTGTTGTGAGATTTCTTGATGATAGCATTATGGCTGGTGAGATGAGCTCTTGAAGTAGTTTTGATTTGTATTTTCCTGATGACTATAGATGTTGAACACTTTAAAAATAGTTATTGGCCTTTTGTCTTTCTTTCTTTAAAAACTGTCTGTTCATTTCATTAGACCATTTGTTGGCTGGCAATTTTAGTTCTTTGGCATTTAATTTCTGCAGGTTTTTTTGTTTGTTTGTTTTGTTTTTGTGTTTGTTTTTGTACAGTCTGGATGTTAGCCCCGATCTGAAGTGTCGCTGAAAGATTCCAGCCCCTCTTCCTATGGGCTGTTTGCTGTACTGATGGTTTCATTTTAACTTCATGTAGTCCCAGTCTGTGATACTTGGGGCTCATTCCTTTGCTAATAAAGTTCTATTCAGAAACTTCTTGCCTACCCCAGTGTCTTGAAGAATATTCCCCATGTTTCTCGTAGACGTTTCAACCTTTTTGTTTTTAAATTAAGTCTCAAAGTGTTCCTTGATCTGGTTCCTGCTTACTCATCAGGTCACATCTCTCTTACAACCTTTATTCTTTCCCTCCCACTATGTGGAAACTCTCTTAAGTGTGTCATACTTAATCTTCTCTATTGGTTTGTAATTGCCAAAACTAAGAGATTATCCCTCTAAGCCAAACCAGAATTATAAGCCTTCCCCTTTGAAATACAAAGGAACCTGACTTTGTTCTCCAGTGTGGTGCCAAACAATGGCCTGTATGTTTTCACTGAGTGAGGTACCCCTTAAGTCATCTAGCACTCCAAAACCTACACATCTGTATTTGGAACCTGACCAGGTAGCTGACATCTGCCAGGGGACTGCTGGGAAAGAGCACCAGTGTTCACCTCTTCCTCCCTGACCAGCCTAACAGGATGCTAGTCTGTCACAGGTGCTTTAGATCACTAGTCTGGGCTCAGTGGAGAGTCCAGGTAAACTTCCCTTCGTTTCTCCAGCTCTGAGAAGAGCAGCCTTTTTTTCCCCTCTGTTTTCCTGAATACAGCTTTAACTACAACAGAAGGATCACAAGCATTTGTGTAGAGTTTTGCCTCGAAACAGCCATGGTCCATTGATGTGGCTGTGGAGGGAGAATGAGTGATTGGATGGTGAAGTCTGAGAATTCTCCTCAGCAGAGGCCTCCCCAGAGATCTTCCTCTGTCTAGATCAAGCTTGCAATTACCCAGCTTGTTCCAGAAGTTTCCTGCTGAAATCAAGCCAGGACACCTATAATGCTTTTGCAGTAATTGCCATGCATACTGCATGGTCACTTCCTCCTGGGTGTTAGAGGGTTGGGGGAGACGCAGGGAGGGAACCGGTTGCCAGTGCTCTGCACTGAGGAAGCTCCTCTGGGCAGCCTTCCCTGGCCTCTGCAGACTGGTCTAAAGCTCACCCTCCAAAGTTCCCACAGTCCAATGTCCACTTATCTCCAAGAGCAGGCTCTGCTCTCATCACCTGCTGACTGACTGTCTCCCGTTGGAGGAAGCTCCTCAAGGCTGGGTTCTGTTTCAATCCTCGTGTGGTTACAAGTGTATTCTCTTCTCGGTTGTACATAGGATATCCACAAAGGTACTTTCTGAGGAGTAAGTTTAATTTTGTTTAGTATAAGCCTAAACACATAGTGTTTTTGTGTGGCGTGTCTCTGGCTGTTTTGGTATAGTGAAAATGATGCTAGATCAACTGTTGGTGAGAGTGTCTTCAGGGTAAGAGCAGACTGCTCAACAGCCAACAGGTACCACTATTTCTGTACTCACTATTTTAAGTGACTTCAGGCACTAACCAGTTTAATCCTCTCAAAACCCTTTTTAGGCACGTAATCACTAGCTTACTTTATGGATGAGAAAACAGAGGCAAAGAAGTCTTAACTAGTCCTGGGTTCATGTTGCTAATGCTTTTGCTTCATTCTGCTTAAAAGGAATGCAATTTAAATATTCTTTCATGAAGTGCTGTGGCTTGGTGATATCAATGAGGATCTAGACACACTAGTTAAAAGCACACTAAATATCAGCAGAAACACAGGAAAATAACTAAACTGTTTAATTTAAAAAGGCATAGAAGGAACATTGAAGTGATATGTTTACATGGAATCATTCATCTCCATAACCAGTCATCAGGACTGAGAGACCAAACCAAAGAGGTTGTGCTTACAAAGCCATGGGTAAGAGATTTTACACAGCTGTAGTTTTGATCTCCAAGGAAGGAGTGAGCTTCCTGGCCTCAGGGACTTGAGGAGCTCAGGGAGCCTCATGGGCTACCTACTGCTCTTGGAGGAGAGGTTTTGCTCCATTTTGTTTGTGCATCTTAGGTCAGGAAGAAACCAGCCGGCTTCTGCTGGAAACAGTGGAGCTGGCTGTTATCCTCACTCATCGATGCTGGTGGAGCAGACCAATGGAGCAGCCCCGATGTTGGCAACTCTTTCCCGTCCTCCTCCCTTCGTTCTCCTCCCAGAGCTGTTCTGTGAGACCTTAACAGGAAGGCAGTTAGTGAATGACTAGAGCAGGAAAGACATTCTTAGTGTCAGTCTACTGATGAGTGTGTGTGTGTGTGTGTGTGCGCGCGCGCGCGCGCGCGCGCACATGTGCACGTACACACCCATCATGTGTGGGGAATGCGCGTGCCTGGCGTGCACCTAGAGGTGGAAGGAGAACTCTGGTATCCCTCAACGCCCTTTAAGTAGGTGCCTGGAACTGAACTTTGGTCACCAGGTGTGCACAGAATGCTTTTAATGGCTGAGCCGCTTCTCTGGTCACGGACCTATGGAGCACCAAGACACAAACGTTGATCCCTGAAGTGGTGAGAAGCAAATCCAAGACAGTTACGGTGGCATCTTCTCACACACCCATTTAGTCTCCTAATCACTATGTAAAAGGAGTACTTGGAAAACTTGAAGAAAGAATAACACAAAAATGATGAAGAACTTCAAATCACTTAGCATTTTAAATGAGGAAAAACATTGCTTGGTAATATGTATGGGGGAAACGTACTACAAGGAAAGTATTTAATGTTTTTTTAAATTCGTTTTAGATAAGATGGGAAAAAAACATCACACTGGGGGAGCCGCCAGGATTCTTACACTCTTGGTGGTGGTGAGTACCATTTTATTTTATTCCCTGATTGATACTGCCTTCCAGTGAGGTCTATGACCCCTACTCCTGTTTGATTTTCATTTTCTAAAATTGTCAACTAAAAGGTAGTATTTGAAAACAAAAACAAAACTTCAAGACCAACATCCTTGTGTTGACTTAAAGATATTACTGTTGAATAAAAATGGAATTGGAGCTGGTTTGTGGAATTCCATTCATAGACAGCATATCCTTCCGTGGAGGTGGGAGGGAGGGGAGGCAAGATATCTGCGTTTATTCTTACAAGGGAACTAATCTCATCACAAGGGTCCTACCCTCAAGATGTCAGCTAAATGTGATTATTTTCCAGAGACTACTCAAAGTACCCTCACACAGGGAGTCAGGACTTCCCCGTCTGAACTTGGAGAAGGTACAATTCATTCCATAGCAGTCTCCTTTTTTGTGTCTCTGTGGCAGATGAGGACAGCACGTTTCCTTGGCTCTTAGCTTACTCACCAGCTCTAAGATTGCTTCCTGTAGAGAGGGCTGCAGGCTGTCAGGAGACTAAATTAGTGCACCGGGGTTGCTGGGCTGGCCCTCAGTTTGTTCTTTGAACTCCCTTCTCTTGGGAACAGTGCAGGCAGGAGATGGTGATCTGACTGACATATCAACACTAGGCTAGTCACATCTTACAGATAGTCGCTCATAGAACAAAGAATGAACACAAAGGGAATGGATGAGTTACAGTGATCGGGTACTGAAATGAATTTGTCTTTTCTTGAGATGGAAGAACATATTCATAAGAACCTGTTTCTTGATATAATGATCATCAGGTATTGAACTGTTCAAAGAGATTTTTTTAAAATTTTTACCTTGAGGAAATGCCTTTTATACTTTTACATTTCTTTGTATTTCTATTATATAATGGAAGCTATTTTTAGAAAGTTTTATTTACTCGTGAGGCTTTGAGCAAACATCTTTTTGCAAACCTAGTAAAATGTGTTTGTTGCTTATTGTCAACAAACTCAGTAAATGTATTCATTGAGTGCCAGGCAATACATTTGATACTCTGGATACATCAGTAAAGAAAGCATACATATTCCTATTGATTATGAAAACATACCTTCTTATTGATTACAGTCTTTGGGAAAAGTACATAGTTCAATGGGCAACAAGAAATAAGTGTCTTATTGGGCATATGCAGGTTACTTGATAGACATACACTCTATACATCAACTGGAGGAGTTGCTGTTGAAGCCAAGGCCTTGAGTAGATATAAAGGGATAACCAAAGAGGTGTGGAGAAATAGAAAAGGGAAACGTTTTAATAAACCATACTATGGCAAGGATCTAGAGGTCAAGGGAAGAAAAGAATGGTTTACAGGAAGAGGTGAAAGCAGTTCAGCATATTGGGAATCGATGTGATCGTGTGATTGGAGACCGGGGAGTTTGCATATGTTATAAAGACAAGGCAGGTACATTTTTAAGTAGGAAAGTAATCGTGTTAGTAGCATGTTCCTCACGCATCTTCATAACATCTCTCTAGCTCCTTAAAGTAGAGAACGGATGGAGCTAGATTAAGTCCAGAAGCAGCAAAGCACTGAGAGACATAGTGTGGGGCAGAGTAGAGTGGGTGTGTGAGACAGGGCACGAGCTAGAGAGCAACTCACATGGAGGGATGTGGCCAGTGAGGCATAGGCCGGTTTGCTCAAGTGCAGTGTCTCAGGCATGCTGAAGGTACAGGATTCCAACAGGACATGTTGAGTGAGGTAGCTGTAGGGTCTGCTGTTCAAAGGAGAGGAAGAGGAGTGAATGATGTTCCTTATGAATAAAGGATGCTGGGGCTGCTCAGTGGTTAGGAACACTGACTACGCTTCCAGACTCCCTGGGTTCAACCCCCAGCACCTACACGGGAGCTAACAGTGGCCTCTAACTCCTGTTCCAAGGGGGAACTGATGCTTGGAAAACACCAATACATATACAATAAAAAGAAGTTTCAAAAACTTTGTTTTGCTGGGTGGCACTTCTTTTTTTTTTTTTTTTTGTGGCACATACCTTTAATCCCAGCACTAAGGAGGCAGAGGCAGGCAGATCTCTGTAAGTTCAAGGCCAGCCTGGTCTACAGAGTCAATTCCAGGACAGTTAGGGCTGTTACACAGAGAAGCCCTGTCTTGAAAAACAAAACAAAAAAATGAGAGAGCGAGAGAGCGCATGCGTGCGCGCGCGGTGCTCATTGTACAGAAACTGGCATCTTTAGTTAACATTTAAGGACAGAGAGGAAGAGGAGGCTATGAAGAAGATAAAGTCCCTCAAAAGGTAGACGGAAAACCTGTAAGGTTTGTGACAGAAAAGCCAAAATAAGACTTTTAGAACTAAAAAGCCAGCTTGCTGGATCATTAGTGGCGGAGAGGCAGAGTAGTGAGGGTGCATGTGTCCTCTTGGAAGCCGGTGAGCAGTCACTAGTGACTGACTGTGCAAGACTGGTCGGGAGGGCAGCCAGCGGGTACTGGATTGAGACATGACAGGGCTTGGGAAGTGGCCAGTGGTAGATACACTGAGTCCGTTCCAAAGCTTCAGCTGTGGTGAGAGGGAAGGGCGCCCCCTGGAAGAGTATGTCGCCCTGACTGGGATCCCCTCATTGCACAGGGAGGGGTGGCCGTAGTTCTGGGGCTTACACAGAGGAGTGGTGGAGGAGCAGAGGTTGCTACTACAAAGGGGGTAATTAGAGGTGGAGGTCGGAGAAGAGTGTGTGATTGTACGAGCCTTAAGGGAAGTCCATCTCTGCTGCTAGGCCATGAGAGAAGGTGCCAGGCTGTGTGTAGGTTTAGGATGGGCATCCAGTTCTCGTTCCCATGGCTTGTTTTCTCTGCAGAGGATGACAAGAGGCCTATGAGGAGGGTGCTGAGGGCAGTGATTGTGGTAGTATATTTTTAGAAGGGATCATTTGAAGTATTTATGTATAGACCAAAGGGGAAGAGAAAAGAGGGAGGGAGGGAAGGGAAGAGAGAGAGAGAGAATATTGAAAGATTAGAAACACACAAAACCTTGCTAGAAACTGTTCAGGGCCAAGTTAATATTGGTGTATGTAAAGTCATTTCCACACAGAGAGTAGCACTTTTGTAGCAGCAATCAGTAGAACAGACATTTGGATGAACTGGATTAGCTGGGGGTCTCAGTGTCTCTATCTGCGTCTGCATCTCTATCAGAAGCATTACCTGTTGCCTTGGCCACTCATTTTCAACATCTTCTTTAAAGGAAGGAAACAGAAGGCCTCTTGTAATGCCTGGCATAGGGTCCCTTGCATATTATTAATCATCATCTTTTTAGCTTCTCCATGGAAGCACGTCTCCCTCGAAGTTCTGTGGTCCTTGAGCCACACTCAGTCAGTCGTGGTTGATGGTTTCCCACTTGTCTCTCTCACAGCACAAACAGATGCAGGCCTTTGTTTGAACATGGTTCCTGTGCTTGGACCAACTGTTCACGACAGTTGAGCATGGTCATTGTGCTGTTTGCTGAGGCTTAAGACTAGTCTCTTGTATGTTGTTAACAATCAAAATTGCAATTGGATAATTTATGGATTTAAGGTATTTAGATCTAGACTGTCCTTTTTTCTAGTCGTGGGATTGAGCTCAGGGTATTGTGCAGACTAGGCGAGTACTCCACCCCTGTATCTGCAGCCCTAAATTCTTAGCTGCCTTCAGAGGTCATCAAGTCCTCTCACCTATGACATCTTTCTAGGTGTGCTTACGCTTATGAATATAAAGTGGCATACAAATCATCATAGACATCTGTTCATATTGGACAAGTGGGCTAGAAGAGTGAGGGTTTCTAGGTGCTCTCTTACTTCATTTCTTGTGCCTGTTTAATTTTACCCTTCTTCAGTAAGTTAACCTAAATCTACAGCATGGTGGTCGATAATAACTTCCTGCATGCTTTGGCCTTTTTTGTACTAGACTTTAGCTTTCTACATCAGCTATCAGAAGGTATAGCTCTTAAACCTGCCATTGTTTATTTATTTATTTTTTTCTGTCACTCAGAGATTCAGAAGAACACCTTGGCTTTGAACTTTTAAGTAACTTAATTTGGAGATATCCAATTAATACTAATTGGCATATAAATATTTTAGACTAACTGCTGAACTTAAAATGCAGCATATACATTATTTAAAATTTTTTTTTTAGTTTTTTCCCCATAAAACTATCAACATGTTCTTTTCAGCATTTGCTTCATATATGTGAGTCATTGATGCTTAATAATGTTGAAGTCAAGGAGTCTTCTGAGGACTGACAAAAAGCTGTGAATCTGTTCCTTCAGAAAAATGCCAGATTCATAAGCCTTCCTGATCATTTTGTAAAGTGAAACTTTTACTGAGAGCTGAATTCAAATCCAGCAGATGCATGACTCTCTTATCTTAGGAGTTTAGACCTGGGCTTTGTAGGCTGTGGTCTGCTGAAGGAAGCAGGCCTGTATTAGTGCTTACCTCTGATGGAAATGCTGGTGCTGTTGGAGTCACATATTTGAGTAATTATAGCTCTGCTCACTTGTGTAGCTCAACTAAGACTAACCAGTGGACCAGTTGTAATTTTATAACTTTCTGTCACTTGAAAAAAAAAAAAAAGATTTGAAATTGGAATTTTGTTTTTGTTGTTGTTGTTTAAGCCTATTTACCAAAAACTTATGAAATTCAAACTACACTCCCCTCAGGAAGATCAGTAGTTGGCTAGATAACCAGGTCACACAAAGTCTAATGGAGCATGTGTTGTGGTTACAATGTAAGTACGGGAGCAGCACTCATCAGTGGGAAGAGTGAGAAAGGGCATTGCCGAGGAAGCAAAGTGGAGCCGACTGAAAGTCAGATGAGAAGAAGCATCAAGGGCCAAGAGGAGTTACTGCAGATCTCAGAGGGGCTGACCGTGCACTCAAGGAGTAACAGGGAGTCTGAACCACTCGCTGGCGAGGATGCAGTACTAGGAAAAGACAGTCTGCACCGCTAGGAAACAAGGCAGTGGCCAGATTAGGAAGTTG